GTAGGACATGAGCAACCTCTAATCCAAAAGCGTTAAATTATGTAATATAATAAATCCCTGTCAGTACCCAGTGCCATCAGATCTGAACCAGCGTTTCACCAGTTTAAATATGACCAGAATTAGCATAGATCTGTATAGAAGAGAAGGCTCTGAGTAGGGGTTGTACTCCTGATGAAGAAGATAAAAACATGGAAGGAAAGGACAGTCTTTTTCACACAAATACGTTATACTTGAATACTTTCATGGGACTGATTTAGTGTGGATTTGTGTGTGTGTGTGGTCTTTTCCAAAATAATAGTTCTGCAGTACCGTGGTAGTTTGTAGTGTACTTTTGCAAAGCACAGCAGAAGTATGAACTGAAACTGCACTTTAGAGTGTCTCTTGCCTAAGCTATTGAATGTAGGGTTAGTGTTCCAGTTGGAAAGACAAATAATGATGAATAGAAAAAATAAGATCCAGTCTTAGTAAAAGATTTACAAACGATGTCATGTAAATAACAACGCAGGCTGTTATTCCTGAAAGTACTTGAGTGCTTTTCTTTTTAGAAGAGAGAAATCAAAAGCTTACCTAGTCAGAGCAGCAAACCTTACAGCAATTTTATTATCTCTGGAGGCAGCAATTTACTCTGAGCATTTACTTGAGACAAAAAAGGTCATTTAAAACATTAGTGGTGGAAGTTTTTGAATTTATTACTTTTTAGTAACAATGCTATCTCATGTAGAAGGTCATACACAAAAATATATTTAAAATTAGATCAAACTGTATAAGAAATTTCAGCTCAGGCCTGCTGTTCTATTGAATATCTTTAGGTGGGGATATAATTCTTGAGTTTTTTTTTAAAAAAAAGTGCTGACACTTCTGGTCCTAATTGTTAGGTACCAATCCCTTTGAAGATCGGTAAGTTCAACACCTTTTTAAAATTGCGGATATGGTAAAAATAATGGATTTTTTTTTTCACTTCCTGAAAAAGTCTCATTTACAAGTGCCTCTTCTAGATTAGAATTTTGTCATCTTTCCCTTATGAAAAGTTAGTAACTATATTATTATTATTATTATTATTCAGCCAAAAAAAGGGTAGCTCTTTCTCATTTACCCCAGAGTAAGAGCAAGTCTGTAGGAATTACTGTGGAGCAGCTGATTTGCTGTCAAATAATGGCACACGCAACCCTGTGGCACCTTGCCTGCATGTCAGTATGTGTTGCCACGTTGCGCTTGCTGAGGTCCTTGATGCCTTTGCCCTAAATAGTTACACAGCTACATATTCAAGTATACACCGTGCCATTATTCCTTTTGGCCGTTCTTTTCTTGCGCTGCAAAGTAACATCGTCATCACCATGGAATTAGCTATAGTGGTATCTTTTGGTAATGTAGTCTGATCCAGTGCAGTTTAGTCTGAGAGCTTTCACAGCTGAAAAGACAGGCTGGTGCACTTCAGATGCAGTTATCGCTGTGCTCCCGATACTGGTGGGTGACCGTTACATCATTCTGAGCAGTTACTAGTAAAATTGCATACCTTAACAGTCTAATACCTACATGCAGTATTTATAAGTTATAAATCTTTTTATAAATATTTTATATGCACATATTTTATGTGGAGGAACTTAACTCTGGGACCTGAATTTGTTGGAAATTGTTGATTCTGCTGGAGGTTGGGTGAACTCTTTGCTTGGAGTTAGCCGAGTGCCTAAGCAGTAATTAGCTGTCTCTTTCCTGATTGGTGCTTTTGGCCCTACACAAGTGTTAACGTCGCCAAGATTGGAAGGATGTACACAGAAGTCTAATGACAGGAAGACTGAAGTTCTTTCCCATTTGGACTAAGAAGTCAGTGAGAAGGGGAAGAGTTTTGGATCTGAGAAACAGTTGGTGGGGGGGACCTAAAAAAAACCCAGTAGATCTGCATGTGGGAATTCGTATTTTGTAAGCATATGTGTATAATGTAGCTTTAGACTGAAATTCTCAGGGAGCTATGAATATTTTCACTGTCAGACCGTACACTGGAAGAGAGCTTTGGATCTAGGAGGTAGGTATTATACATAGCTTTCTTTTCAGTTTACTTTTTCTATAAGCTTTGCAACTGCACTGAGTGTGTCCTCATTTTTGTAAATAAATTCTTCATTTGCTTTACTTTCGTTTCTGTTACGGGTGATTTCCATGTCATAAGCAAATACCTAGCAAGTTCTGCCAAAGCAGAAAGATAATGAAGCAAGTGCTTGAACCCAGAGGGCCTTGATGAAGTTTGGTGCAAGATTATTGACTGTTTCATTCCAAATATCCAGAAGATCGATTCTCAGTGATAGCTCATATTCAAATCAATGTATGTTCTCCATAAAGAGTCCTCTCCCCAAACTGAATGCTACAATTACTTCAGCAGAGATGTGGAACAAACCACTAATGGCTAGTACGTGTTCGTGGCAGTTGTTCAGTTCAGTTTAGTACACAGGTATTGAAGTAGCACAATAAGAAAGCTAATTGACCGAGGGTTTCGGGTACACTTGAGCTTTGTAATTCTGCAGGAATTATGTATGTTTGCCTCTTTTTAAAAAGAAAGAGCTTTAACTGATTTGCTCATTAGACTGCTCCTGTTTACTGTGGTGCTAACTGAAGCTCTGGTAGCACTACTTATGAAAGTGGTAACTGCTTTAAAAACATGGTGCTTTGTATTGTTTATGTGAAAGTAGATTATCATATTTGTATCAGTAAATGTACAGCATTATGCTAGCCACCTCCCGGATTAGTGTTCTTACAAGATCATTTTCTAATGGAGCAGTGTCTTGGAGAGTGCTGTAGTAATTTTCTCATTCAGGTAATTTGTAAAATTAATGCCTATTTTAACTTGCCAAGTGAAATTGAAGCTATCCAAATATACTTTTATGTTGCTGTTAATAGGATAGCCAGATAACTATTTATAGTTTCATTTTTTTCTAGTGGATGTTTTTTCAACTAAAGTCGTTTTTTGTAAATGTTAGAATGTGTTTGTTTTTTACGTATATAATTGTGTTTTTTTTTTTTTTCTAGGAAGTAAAATTCAGATAATCATAGAACTTTCTGTATCTCATAAGGAAAAAAATTTGTTGTGTTCAGAATGGTAGTAAAATGTCTAATAGTTGTTGTTTTATTTTACTTTAGTTTTAAAAAATGTATGCTATTTTATATAAAGCCAATGTAGAAACAGCTAACTGGACTATGTGTGGTAAATTACTTTTTATCTCTTCATCCAAAGAGGCCACAGTATGTGTGAATGTCTCATGTGTGGGCAGGCTTAATATTTCTTTGATTCAGACTGAGTGTGCACTACTAGCAAGAAAGAAATTAATTGCCAGTAGATGTGATGAGTTTTAGTTTGACGATAATTTAACTTGGACTGTGACAAATCCTTTGTATTAATTAATAGGAATAATTTGTTGAGGCAAGACTTCCCCCCGCCCCCCACGTTAGCTTACAATTTATAACTGAAGCAGAACAGGGATAGACTTAAAACTTAGACATTTCAACACTTTAACGTAATTAAAATAAATGAGCTGCATTCAGCACTCCTCGCTTTAATTATGCAGAAGATATATTTGCATGTCGATTTATGTTCATTTGAGCATGTTATATGTCAGTCCAGGCACTGTGTGTGTATTACACAATTTTTTCACCGTGTTCAGCAAAGCTTATATAGATCCCCAGAATTTCACGAATATAGTCAAATGTAATGATGGTACGGCCGCGCTTAATCTCTCTGTGTTGGGAACTAAAAAAATAAAGTTGAAAATTGAAGTTCTCTATTTCTAAATTAGCTATTTGGAGAAATAAAATATGTATATGAAATCTCAATTGCAGTGTTTGATTTTAAATGTATATTCCTCTTAATCTGGTTTTATGGGAAATCTTATTAGAATAGTGTTTTGATGGAAGGGAAATGTTACTACATGGTAGAACTTTATGTTCTGTCACTTTCACGTTACTGCTGCTGCTGTAGATTGTCGGCTTCTCTAGTCTGTTTTGTGTAGCGACAGCATGCTGCTTTAAATAGTAAGGTAAAATCGGGGAAAAGTAGAAAGCCTTAGTGCATAAAGTACACTGCAATATGAAACTGAATTAAACAGTGGTAGTGTACTTTAAATTTGACAAAATAATATTTTCTAGTAATCTGTGTCCTATAATTTGGGGAAAAACTGTATCCGTGAGGCCGCACAGCACCCTCAGTTAGGCTCCTGGCCAGCTGAGAGGGCACCTGCAGTGGAGGCAGAACGTGCTGTTGTTGGTAACTCGGGTGATGCTTATGGGGCCAAGGCAGGAACCGTTGCTGCAGATTGTGTGGCATGTCAGAAGGAACCAAGGCTATTGACAAGGAAGGCTTGTAGAGCTTATACATGGCACTGCAGTTACAGCATTGGGATAATTTGCGTATGGAAATTACATGCATACAAAATCCATCGGAAAATGGATTTCATTCTGATACCCGTTGTTAGTAGAAGCATTTGTTTTAGAACTGGAAGTACTACTAGGAGATTGGAGGAACAGTGATGAAATTCAAGCGTTGAGTACCACGTCCAATTTATTAACTGGATTTTATTGCTTAAGTGATGATATAATTACTGATCCTCACAATGTCTTCAGAATTTTGACCTGGTAAGTGTGACAGATGTTATATATATAACCGCAATTGTTTTACCGTTCAAAGCAGCATAAAAATTGCTTATCAGTTTTTTTGTTTACTAGTGATTTTTCTTTGGATTCGTAGAGCTGGAAAGTGTTTTAATGAAAACTTTTTGTTTTCTGAAAATTCTGAACCTCAGAATATATGCCTTTCTGTAGAATTCTGGAAACTAATTTCAGAAACTACAAACGCTTCACTGCTGCATTAACTTTGCTTACTGAAAACACTACCAAAGTGTTTTTGGTCTGAGATTATGCATTTTTATTTATCATAGATGTGTTTATTTCTTTTCAGGTAATGATATATGAAATATAATAATAATATAATATGTCTAAACTGATTGTTCTCTCTCTCTTACAGGCTGCTGAGTCGGGAATAATAAAAGTGAAAACAATAGCAGCACGAAATACTGATATCTTGGCAGGTAATTATTTCAATATCAACACAATGGAAAAAGTAAATTTTGGGTTTTAGTTCAGAACTTTGCACAAATCCGAAACATCTTTTTAATAACCCTACAGGCTTTTTAGTGCACCTTGTATCAATGGTACTTTCCTTTTGGCACTTAACAAAAATCCAGTAATACTGAGAAATCCTTTACCCTATTTCTCTTAGTGCTGTACTGATGCTGAGGAGGGTCTCCATTTTCGGTGGTGGTTCTACAAAAGTAGTCATCAACATAGAAAAACAAATTGAAATTCTTAGGCTCCAAATTCTTATCATCTCCTTCACTACCCATGTTCACCAGAGCTGTCGTGGAGTGCTCTGTGTAGAGTTCTGCAGTGTGATCCTCATCTGGATGTTTAGTGTGAGAGTCTAGCCTGTGGAGACTTGCACCTGGCAGGCAAAAATCCATCTCAGTCTGAAACGAGGTCATTCAATTTAAGAAGTATCATTGCCTTGAGAGACAAGAGATCTCTTGTGAGTTGCAGCTTTTTAACCACTTAAAACAGTATCTTTAACTTTCTTCAGCTTTATTAAATTGCACGTAAAGTGAAGGCTTCTTGCCAATTGCTGTTTAAGCCTTCGGCCAAATTTGAATGTCCCTGAGTGTCCACATGAGTGTCTACACCAGCTGTAGTCAGAATCCTTGCAATGCTAAATTACTGGAAAGGTTAAAATGAAACTTAATGAAATGTCAATCTGTTTCTCGTTTTGAAGTATGTAAATTAAATATTGTTTAGGAGGCACTTTCTAGAATTATTTAAAATAGCAGCCCCTCCCCTCAATATTTCACTTTAATGCCTCTTTTTTATTTGTTTATTTTCTTTGTTTTTACTGCTGTCATGAATGCTGACATAAGTGGGAAAACTATGCCAGGTAATGTCAGCTATGCATCAAAATACACAAACGTAAGAGACAAATCTTCAGTAAGCCATTTGAGAACCTAGCAACGTTCTTTGGAATATTACTGTGTAAAGATCTTCACGTTTTTTTTTTTTTAAAGGCTAGTTTGTGATCTTGCAAATTTGTTTTTGTGTTTTACTCTTCATTTCAAAGTGAGGAGATGTGAAAGGTCATTGATTCTGGGCAGGTATAGACAGTCTTTCCTTTTATCTTTTCGAAGGAACACTTTCTGGTAGCGTGTCACGTTTTGTAAACACTTTTCATTTGAAAGATTTAAACTAAGATATATTAAATATGTGTTTCACTCACCCAGAAACTGCACAGATTTGTTAGTATGAGGTTTGAAATAACATCAGGCCCAAAAATTTACTTTGATTTGCTGATATTTACTAATAGGACAGTAACTTTTTTCCAGTGAGAAACATGTACTGTGCCCGCAGCTTATCCTAACATTTTACAGTTTAAACATAATGCCATTAAACACTCCCAACTCTTTATTGACTCTTGTATTTTTTAAGCTATCAGTTGTAACCTAATCTTGTGGACAAGTTAATACCCAGATCTCTGTTGTCTCCTACATGCTATTTAAGATTTCTTCTTCACGTGGTGGTATATATACTTTATATATACTTTAGTAATAATAAAGCTGAAAAAGGCTACTCTAATTGTGAGATCTAATGAAGCAAATTTAGCTGCTAGATGATTTAAGAGCAACTAATAGACTTTCTAAAAAAAAATCCAAAAATATATTTTGATCAGGATATGATTATTCGTTATATTTTGATGAAGAATCTGTCATTCCACAGAAATAGAACAACTATATCGTGTTCTTTTAAATAAGCCAAACTATTACTTTCTTGAAGCATTGCACTGTGTAAGACTATAATTATTTGGAAAATAGATGCAATCTTAAAATTACAAATATACAGAAGTAGCATTATGTCTGATGAGATGTGTTTAACTTGCCAGAACGCTGAGGTCATTGATGTAACTTCTTTCTTTCTCTTGGAAAAGTTACGTTGAGCAGTTTCAAAATTTTTGCTCTTGGCAGTCTATACGTGCTTTTAAATTTATTTATGAAGATTTCGGTGCTTCTAAAAGAGAAGCTAGCTTGAGCTTCCGATCACAGGAGATAAATGTGAGAAGTTATTTCCACATGGCTCTAAGATGTGCTATTTTTAGGTAGTTCACACTTTTTCTAAAGAAGCTCTTTTAAAAAATAGGATTATTATCTTTGCTGATGGAATGAAGTACTAAGTCTTTTTTTTTTTTTTTCCAAAAATTTCTTTTATGTTGTGGTTCATTATGGCAGATTTCTTTTTTAATATCATTTATTTCTTTTACTTTGGTTTAGCAAAATGGAAGCAGACCTTGATATAAGCAAATTCTCGTGTGTGTGTTTTAAGACTGAAGCTAATGCACTAGTCAGTAGTACAGACTACCAAGCATGTAAACTGTTCAGCTTAATAACAAAAATGCTTGTATAGATACTGTTGTGAGATTGTTTTGAATGGATTGCAGGAACGATCCTGTAAAAAGTTAAAACTTTTCTTTATCCCATTATTTATTAATAACCTTGCCATTTTTGCCTTTCAGAACTCTATCATGAGTCTTATGTTAAGCCTTAAGTTAAGGATAAGTGTTTTGTGGTATCTTTCTTTTAGGTTAGTCTTTGATGATTGGAATTTGGTGGCAATTTGGAAATTTGTATGAGTAAGAGGCATCCTTTAGAATGAGGTCTCTAGGCCCTATCAGCTCTGTAATAGGTGTTCACAGACTATAAAGCTTAGGCTTCTAGCTCACATGTAAACATTGACACTTAAATTATCTTCTCAAATGGGAACTCACTTCCACTTTGTGATTTACTAGCCACTTTTTTTCTAATTTTTAATGAGAAAATTATGGGATGCTTCCCAGAAGAATAGTGGTGGTGGATACAGTTGAAAAGAAGGTTTATTTGCTTGATAGCTTAAAAAAAACCTGTAGACATCAAAGCAGAGTGTTAAAACAGGTAGTGACTTGTATTAATTCCCATTTATGCAGACATTTTTATTGATTTTTGATTAGGCGTTTGGTGCTTGGTCGGCTTCTGTCGACTTAGCTGCTGCCCTGTACTGGCTCTGAAGAGACTGAGATAACTATGGGCTGTCTGTGTGTTAGTATTATACCCCATGTGTTAAGAACTATTATCGTATCAAAATTGGCATCTGTAATCTGCTCTAGCCTGTTCTTTTCAAAGCAAGTTGTTCATGGTGTGCTAGTGCTTCAGTTTAAAATGTCATTAAAATATATTTTTGTAGCTCTTAACTTCATGTTTGTTTCATTTTATTTCTTCACATTAGTTGTTGTGGTACTTAAGTTTGGCCCTCGAGAGGGTTTATTATTATCTTGTCTATTGAACAAATTGAATAAAATTGAAGTTGATGGTGCTTGTAGTTTTATGCAAGAATATTTTTTTGTTTGTGGTAAGAGCTATGCTCTAGAAATGTGTGTAAAACATGTTCATAACTCTATTTCTGTTATTACATATAGGCTAAAATATAGGGAAAGACATTCGTTGTAAGAACACCCTATGAATTTTCAACTATGAGGAAACTTAAATTGTCTGAAATGAGAATGAACAGCTAAAAATCTTAAAACTTTGCATGAAGCAACAAATTTTGCACACAATCAAAAAAGCACTCAGTTGATTTGAATCATGCTTTGCTTTGATCTTTTAGAAATGTTTTCTTTAATTTTATGGTGTTTAGCTCAGATGTCTTGAAATACTTTTATGGGGAAAACTTTAAAATGTCACTGTGGAATGTTGTATTAATTGCGTGTGGGGTTTTTTGTTTTCTTTTTTAAAAGAGAAGTTCGTGAAACTTGTGACTTCTTACGGATAACTTTCATTTTAATAAGCTGCCATTTCTCATAAAAACCCCGACTGAAGAATTCACAGCCAGGTGTATGTCTCCTGGATTCAAACAGTCCGGTTTCTTTCTCCTCCTTGTTTGGTGGCGGCATGTTCCTCCCCATGCCATGTGCTTTGGTATGTCTCTTCGTGCCAGACTTTGTGTTGCTTTTGAGCTCAGTTCAGAGGTGAAGGAGATCAGAAAGAAAAGGATGCCAGTCTAAGATTGGGTATTTCTAAGGCTGGAGAAGGCTTTAAGAAAGTCACTCAGTGAAAAGCAGGGCATTGAGAAAGGAAAGAGCGTGTAAGGGAGAAGGTGCTTTGGATTAGAGCCTTATTCACATCAGTTATTGAAGTGAGCTCTGGCAATCCGTTATCTTTTTTCAGGTAGCTTTTCCTTCTGGTGCAAAAATAACTCCCAAACTTCCAAGACTGGAGACTGCTTTTTGTTGTTCTTTATGGATATGATTCACAGCTTTTGCATTGTATTCTTCAAAGTATTGAAAATTGACTGCTTCCATATCTCTTTTGACTCTTCCATATCTCAAAAGCATTGAAAGAGAACAGCTCCGAGGTAGTTCAGCCTTTTCTAATGGGTTGTGGAACAAAGGAACCAAAGATCACTCAGCTGTGTCTAGCAGCCATACAAAGGCTCATGTCCCATGAAGTTGTTTCAGAGGTAAGATAATTGTTCGTATAAATATTTCAGTGTGGGAAATACAGGCCGCTAAGTGAAGGTGAACACCCTTTTGTAGGAGGCTGTTAATAATATAATGAACATAGCCTGCAAAATTTTACTTATCTACTTTTCTAAAAGTAGTAATTTAAAGGAAAACCTTCTTTTTCAGCATTTAAAAAAAAAAAAAGTGATGAGGAAAAAATAGTAACTTCTACAGGGAAATCCATGGCATTCAAAACAGCCCATTTGGTTTGCATACTAGCACTGCAGGAGTGGAATATATATGTTCAGTGATAAACTTACTTAAGGTTGCATGCACAAAATTTAGTCTGTGATGCATTTGTTATATGTTACTTCTTAAAAATAATATAAAATGGAGACACGTTTCCTGCAGCATTTCCTTTTGAAATGCTGTGTGATCTGTTGCGGTAATGCATGTACAGCATGTTAAGAAGCTTGAAGATATATTTTAATAATATTTTCACAATTGTGCTTGCATAATGTAAAATTACAGTGTTTTCTGTGTCATGAAGGAATTCTGAAAGTAAAATATCTTTGTACAGTCTCTTCTACCTTTTCAAGTAAAAAGCAAAGTATGGACTTTTATTTGGACTACATGTTACGAGATTTCTCAACTAAAAAACAAAATCAGCTTTTAAAGTTGAAAGATCGACTTTTAACAAATATTTAGTGAAGCCTGTGACAATGAAATTAGTTTTACATTCAAAATGTAGTCCTATGGTATAGAAAAACAGTCAAATTCAGTTATATTCAGTTACGAGAGTGCTATTCTTACAACGATACACGTGACATAGCAGTATATAAACATATTAATTGTATACACAAAATAATTTCTTTGTAGGCGGCAGCAGGAAACATTATTAATATGCTTTGGCAACTGATGGAAAATAGTCTTGAAGAACTTAAATTGCTTCAGACAGTTCTTGTACTTTTAACAACCAATACAGTTGTGCATGATGAAGCACTGTCGAAGGTAAGAATTTGTTAGTGTCATCTATAGTACATATAATATGCTAATTCAGCTGCATCAGTTGTACCAAAGAATACGGGCAGCTTTTAGAAAAGAGGCTTGCGTTAAAGGCCGTGGATAAATATCTGTCATTCAGAAATGGTAGCTTTGCTGAAGAAATCTTCAGTAAGGTTCTTTTTTTTTCTTTTTTTTTTTTTTTCCCCTGTAGTAGCTTAAACCTATATACTGATGTGCATACTATGCATCTAATAATAATAATCTCTATGATACTTTAAAACTGTCTAACTGTGAAGAAGCAAGTAGTACTGGACCTTTAAATTTACTAGCTCAGCACATTTGTGTGTTGTTTTTTCTTACTATGTGGTAACAGGCATGATATAACAACAAATATATTTCTGCATAAAATATTTCCATAAGGAGATATAAAATAATATCATTTTTAGCACTTACATTGTAATTTTAGGATAAAAGAAACAGCGTAACTAAATTTGCAACAGCAAGTGGTTTCATTAAGTAGAGTTTACCTAGAGGAAAAACAAGGAGAAATTTTACATATGAAGCATTTGGAAATAATGGAGGAGGAGGGTTTCTTGATTCTGTTATGTTGATACGGTCTTCATATCTAGACTCTGAAAATAGAACTTCTTTTAGCTTCCTTGTTAATGTGTCTTTTAATTTCTCCACAGTAATCGAATTCTGACTTAATGGGCATTTTAAATTAAAATGCTGGGCAATTGCTTGTCCTTCTGATATGCAAAATTAGTCTTATGTATGATTTCAAACCGAAGAAATCGGAGCACATAGCACAGTGTAAGGAGAAGTGAATGTTTGGAGAAGCTGCCCCCCACCTTGCATTGAATCTGTTTCCCGAGTAGTGTTACACAACCTCAGCATGATTAATATTATTCCGTTATTTGTTATTGTGTTTGCAGGTTTTTCCTTCACTCTCTAATGGGAATAGGGGAATGGGAATGGCAAGGGATGAAAAGCAACGGATTCCTTGTTTCAAGAACTTTTTTCCATGTTCAGCCTTGTTCTCCTTTCCTCTAGGAAGTTGTGAAGAAGCCTTGAATTTTATAGTTTTCTCATATAAGCTATTCATCCTTGTATAGTAGCTTCTCATAAAATAGGTATTCTGGGGCAAACCCATAATTTTTGATGAAGAAAATGGAAATACTTTAGAAAGTGGGATTCTCGGTTTTTAACTGGATAGCAGATATTCTCTAATGACTTGCAACATTATTGTTTGATCATATTTTAATCTAGGCTCTGGAAAGAGGCAGGCTGTTGAAGTCCACCCTACCTTTCTCTTCTGAATATCCCGAATAACTCATAATAATAACTAATAATAATAGCGCCAAATAACCAGGAAAGGTCTTTCCCGCCACTTTTGTCCTGTCCTACAGGACAGGATATCATGTCCTGATATATCTTATTAGGATATATCCTGATCCAGAAGCACACTTACATGATGGAATTGCTGGAAAATCTAATTACTGGATTTTTAACAAATTTCTTAGAGCACATTTAAAAACTAATGTTTTTCAGAAATTTGTAGTCAAATTTGGGCAGATTTCGGCAGGAGTAAAAAAAAAAAAAAAAATTCTTGGCATAGAGCAATGTCCTGTAAACTTCTAGAGTGGAGTTACTAGAGTTTCTCAGTGAACCAAATGTAAGCCGTAATATGGGTAAAATGATGGGTTGATTCGTTTGTTTTCTACCTGGGATAGGTAGAAATTTCTTTAAGGGATATCTGAAATGTGTGTGGGGAGGGGCGTTTGTTGCTTTTGAAAAAGTCAGTTTGAGGTGTAAGTTGCATGTGCAGTTTTTAACTTGACTGATTGAAATTAAGAAAATTACTGGTTAACGTTCTTGAAAAGGCCCTTAAAAATTGGCATCGCTGTTAGGTTAACCAGAACATCGTGCAATATCTTCAGAAAGTCCAGAACTGCGTGATGTATTTTAAAAATTCAGACCAATATGGTGACGCCATCCGAGCAGAGTCCACAGATCATTTACAGGAAAAGGAAGCAAAAGAAAATTCTAAATCTTTATGACTCAAAACATGCAACATTATGGCTAGGTGGGGTTGAGGTTCATACAAGTGCAGGAACATGGAATAAGGGCAAAAGAACATGCAATACAGGTTTCGCTACAAACACAGATACTAATTTTCAGTTTATTGTGAAATAACTATGTGTTAGAGGCCATATGAAATCCAATGAGAAACAGTGTTTGTGCCAGCCCGATGACACATGAAAATATGCCCCTTAGAGAGGAGTAGTTGCAGCAGAGGCAACATGATTGTGAAAGTACTGTGATGTATGGTAGGAGAGGAAGTGATAGGTCATGTGTATCGTAGCTTTAGAATTGCCTGACTTTTTTGTGGTTAGCCATATAATCCTATATCTTTTTTGACGTTAATTTTAATACAAGTTGTTTTATGTGGTTGATTACTGTGTATTCTCTGAATACATAGATGATTGTATAATGATGATTATAGTTTTATTGGTGCTTCATAGTGTCTTCGTTAATACCATTTCTAGCTTACCTTTGAGGGGAATTAGTAAAAAGATTTTTCTGTGGGATAATCCACAAAACTACTCTGGCTCTTCACATTTACAGTGATTAAATATATTTTTTCAGACAACTTTTTGGCAAGCTACAATGGAAAATGTTCTCCAATCAGCTATCTTGACTCTTGACGAAAAGATAGAGGTATATTGTTTAAGATTAAGTTCTTTTCTTTCAGGCAATTGTACTTTGTTTTCGATTACACTTCACAAAAGATAATATCACAAATAACACAGCAGCAGCTACAGTGCGACAGGTAGTTACTGTTGTATTTGAGAGAGTTGTTGCTGAAGATGAACGATACAAAGGTGGGTATATCTCTTCTTCTGCTCGCTTGTGTTAACCTGTTTTTTGGGGACGCATCGAATGCTTATTTTTTTCAGATAGGCAGGAGAAAAGTATATACATGTTAGAAGAAAAGACACATTATTAATTTTTATTGTCTTTTTATAGATGTACTTGTATAGAAAGGAGATGAAATCCTCAGCTACTGTGTAGGTCCAAACCAGTACATTAATCCATCAAATAGATTTTTCTTACGTGGGAGCTGGTCTTAAGGCCAGTATTGCAAAGGAATTTGGGGCGAGAAAGTTATTTAAAGTGCAGGTAACTTAGATCACTTAGTATGAGATAACTCTTACAGTTCTGTTCTGACAAGAACATTTATTTTAAATAAGTGCTTGGTATTCATGATCTTTGGTATTCAATCTAACCTTTACTTCTGTAGAAATGATAAGTTGCAGAAGAGTTACCTAGCCATTTTTCTAGAATCTGTTTGTAAGAACATTTAACATGCACTTGCTTTTGAACAGTTCTTTTGTTCACCAAACTGATTTTTGATTTTACACAGATACTACTGAGCAACCAGTTGCAGTTCAAGGAAATAGTAACAGAAGATCTGTCACTACACTGAAGCCATGTGCTAAAGATGCATATATGCTTTTTCAGGTAATCGCAGAGCATATACTTATACGTTTGCAGTTATGATTGGATGCTTCTCTACCACTACAAGATATTTCAAAAATCTTCTGTCAGCATATTGATAAAGTCCTTAACCAGAGCCGCAGGCTTTCTCTTGCATAGTTACTGCAACTGTCAACAATGTTGGAAATAAAGACAAAGTGGCCTCAGAAATTTTTTTTTTTTTAAATAAATCTTAACTAATAACTAAGCGTGCATGTCTGCATTAACTTCAAGGTTCTTTTTTGCTTTAGCCAAACACTGCACCATAGTTCAGTCTTGTTTCTTGTGTTTGGTATGGCATTGTAATGTAGAATATATAATGAAAAGTAATGGTTGTATTCATTATACCAATAAACATATTTTTTTTACTTATCAAATTCACTTGTCTTGAGATATTTTTGAGAGCAGGAAT